CGCTACGTTACCGGGGAGAGGAGGGTGGAGGGGGGTTCTCAGTCGCGCAACATGTTACAATATCTTTCTGGGATATGTAGCCCACATCTCATCTGCTTCAGTCGCTCAGTATAAGAAATGGTTTATTTAATGGCATCCACATAGCAGATACCGTATATATATTTTGGCAATAAAAAACTCAGTAGTAAAACAGAAATATATATATAAAAGTAACTTGCAGATAACTCTTCTGCTGCTCTTGTGGCACACAGTTCAGGAAATACTTTTGTTTTATGTTGTCACAGTGTTATATCACTTTTACTGAGTGAATTGGAATAACATTTTGTATCTCAGCCAGGCTGTTAGCTATCATGACTGGTTTTCATCTCTGGTTTTCCGTAGTCCCTCTGGGCAAATGCTGGGATAATGCCTTGAATAGTCTTCATCTGCTTCCTTCCAAATCCTTTGTAGTTCATCGTTCATCTTGCCATTTGACACTAATCTGAGTTATTGATAGCATCTTTAAATAACCCACAGATAAGTAAACACACTATTGCACTTATAAATAAGCAGAGATCACAATCACCAAGTTTACCATTGAAATTATCTGTTCAGAAACATAACCCTACTTTTAATATTGAATTTACAGAATATAGCTATTGTGTCAGTCAAAGACAAATCAAGGAATTTGAGATATTCAGTTACCTGATAATGTGCAGTGCTTTACACATTTCCATTAAATGTCACATTTTCTGTTTTCAGATCAAGGGAAGATTCCACTAGCGATGTTAACAACAATGAAGAAACTGAAGAGCGGATATATCAATGGAACCAGGTGCAGAGAATTTTCGATATTTCGGTGACCTTCAGTGTCTCAGTCTGTCTTTCTTCTTATAACATGTTCCTTTTCCCTTCCTTTTCTGCATTTTCTCATAAGAATGCCCACATGACTCTACATTTTTGTTACTTCTTTTGTTTTGCTGACTTTATCATTGAAAAATGTGTGATTAAGTAATTTCAATATATTCATTTTAGCCATTTGCATATTATTTCTTTTTTTTAACATAATTCCATTGTTCTTTTAATCTTCATTAATTCACACACACAATCAGATAACACACACACACACATAGTTACAAACTATCTCCTATTAAGATCTTAAAGTTTTTGATGATGGTAAATTGTTACAATTAATATGTTGCTGGACATTATCCATCATCTTGTCTGTTCTTAAAAAAAACATCCTATTTCCTTTAAAAAACACAGCATTTCAAGGACTGGATTCTGTCCGGAGATAGGGGCTAGCTCTTTCTATTGGACCCAACTGAGTAGGTTTTACCTGAAGAAGGGGACAGAATCCAGTCCCCAAAATGTTGTGTTTTTTAAAGGAAACAGGACAGTTTTTTAAAAACAGACAAGATGATGGATAATGTCCAACAACATATTAATTGTATCTCCTATTATATTGTTTTTTTTAATTAATATTAGGATGATATGTTGATGATATTAATAACATTTACAGTTAAATTTTGGCTCTGGGAAGGCAAAAGAGGGCCCCCTTAGGCTCAGGGCCTGATAAGCCCACACTCCTGTATTGATGTACTTTTGATTCAGTAGCAGTAATTCATGAACCCTTGCAACAAGAAATATTGAATATGGAAATGAGTTGGAAATATATCTGAAAACTTTGTATTGTTGTGCAGGGTTACTCTGGGGAACCTGAATGACTTCTTGAGTACATCATGCATCACCAATTTAAGCTTCCTTGGCAGCCAAGAGGATGGTTTGCCAGATCGTAAGTACATAACATTCGATTCTATTATCATGCCCCTTTGTGGGTTTAAACTTGGTCTCTCAACATCAGGAAAATATAAGGGTGTTTGATATTAAAGTAGAACATTTGGTCCAGAGAGAGGATTGAAAGAAGTGCATGAGGAGCTCAATAATTTGTACTCATCAGCTAATATTAATTGCATATTTAAATCATGTAGGTTGAGACTGTTGAGTTGTGTGGCACACATTAGGGAAGAGAGAAATACAGTGCGTACAATCAAGTGCGCGCCGCGGCTGCNGTTTTATTGAGGAAATCTTGAAAGAAAGGACCATTATATCAATGTATGATAATATTAAAATGAACAGTGAAGTTGATGTAGGAGCAGATGGAATGTCGCATGATTGTATAAAGGTACTTCAAATGGAGTGTTTATATTCACTTTTCCATAGGGCTGAACCCACAAGTACAGACATATTTGGAAGAGCACTTGCTGAAGTCACTTGCTCCTCGTTCGCAGCTTCTGAACCGCCCGGCCATACGTAAAGGGAGCACAATGCGACGCCGTATGTCAGTTAAGGGAGCCATCAAGAAGACTCGATCCATAGCAGTAGAACGTGAGTATCATATTCATTCAGATGTAGTAAGGAAACTCAGCAGTTGGGGAAATAATAGTACAGTGTGCCCCAATGTTATAGACAATCAATTCATCCTTATGGAAGTGCAGAATATATATTAAAATGTCACACAGAATTACTGGACTTTTGGACTTTTTACATCGTCTGGAATTCTAGGTAAGAGAGGACATGACGTTTCGGAAACTGGGTCTGTTTCCGTCTTCAGGTGAGAAAGGAGGACACCTACTCAGTTGGGCCCCTTAGATTGAGATTAGCTGTTTCTATGGGGCCCAACTGTGCAGGTGTCCTTTCTCACCTAAAGACCGAAACAGATCCAGTTTCTGAAACATCAAGTCCTCTATTACCTAGAATTCCAGACAATGGAAAAAGTCCAAAAACCCAGTAATTCTGTGTGTCATCCACCATCTTCAGAACCTTTTAGAATTTACTTTCACTAAAATGTGTTCAAACACAAAATGCAAAAAACTCAGCCAAGGCTAATCCTTTCATAGAAATTATTACTAATAAATTCAGGCATCATCTGCATGTGCATCAGTGATGCAGGATATGTGGCTAGGCTGTGCAAGTGTTGGTGATGTGAGGATCACCAGTAGAGCAGTAGCTTCCTTCATTTTGCTTCAGATTTTCCACCGTATTACTCTTATTTAAGATGTCTCCATACCTACTATTATTATTTTCTCTGTATCTGCATTATTCTTTCTCTCTCTGTATCTGCTTCTCTTTCAGTCCATAGATCATTACTCATAGAACACAGTTCTTTGCTTGCTGCAGTAGAATGCATGCCAGTAGTTCTGACAGCTTTCGTTGTGTCTTGTAGCTGATATTTTGGGTATGCAAGGTGATGAGCATTGGGAGAGACGAGCGTCTACTTTTGTGAACCCATCTCATTTGACAGCCGAATCAGAAGCAGGCAAGGCATCCCCTAGGTCACCCTCACCGGAAGATATGGTGCCGCTGTGGAAGCGGAGTGCAGCTCCCAGAGCAAGGTGAATATTAGCAAAAATCTGTAAAACCACAGTTTATGGTTCCTAATTTTGACAGCAGGAAAGTAAAGATAGATTTGTGGCTGTACTCTGTGCTGTTCTCTTTGAATGTTGACTTCCTTTATGGCAGATTCCAGTCCTTTCTATTATTTGCCTTCTACCTCCATTTATTCAAATTCAGTCTCATAAATCATTCTCTATATCTTCCATCCATCTCGGCCTGGGCCTTCCCAATTTTGTTCTACTTTCTGGGTTACTTTCAAAAATTTACTTAACCACTCTTGTTTGGTCCATTCAGATCACATGCTCCAACCACTTCAGCTGATCTGCTAGCAGGTCAGGAGATTTATATAACTGCCTCAGTTCTTGGTTGGTTCTGATTTTCCTGATCCCGTGCTCAATTACTGATCTATACAGCTTCCTCAAAATGTTCCTCTTCCACATATTTAATGTAATTCTGTCCTTTTCACTTGTGGCTAATTGCAGTACATAGCATCCCACAAGTCTGAGGCCATAGGAACCTTCACTTACCTGGCAGAGTATAGAGAATCGTAAAGAAAGAAAAGTTATTGCGTATCTTGTGTTTCCAGTCTCAAGCATTGGCAACGTTTTTCTAAGAAGAGTTATTAGATCGCTTCACTCTTTACATGTTGACAGTACAGAATTATGGTGATGTGGCCAGGGTTAAGGGGAACTGATAGTGAAGGAGAGATAGGTACAACATGAACCAGGAATGGTGAATAAAACAATTGTATTTTAATTCATGTCCTACCAATCTCATCCTTCTTTGTTTGCTCATTGCAGTAATATTTGGTAAAGAGTGTGAATTATAAAGCTCCTCATTATGGAGCTATCTTCAGCCTCCTGTCATTTCCTCGCCCTTAGGTCCAAATATTCTCCTCAGCACCCTGTCATCAATATAGTCAGCCTGTGTACTTCCCTTAACCCTTTGACGTGGTCATTTAAATTCCGCGGCCGCGGCTCCTGCGGTAATATATTCAGCCGGCCATTTAAATTTTGCTCGAAAATTATTTATTCATCATTGTTCTTAAATTCTATGAGATAGGAACATGAAACTTTCACTAAAATGATCTTAAATGGTGGTTTTATAACCTTACCTTATAATATGGGCGCCCTGTATCTCGGCCATGGAAGCAGGTTGTTTAGTATTTG